GGAGAAGGCAGAATGGAGATAACAGACCAGAGAGTGACAGCATAAACAAACTCAACAGGAAAGAACAAACATCAATTTTTAGACTTCGGACAGGATACTGTGGTCTTCGAGCACACCTGCACAGGATAGACATAAAAGAATCTCCTGCCTGTGATTGTGGAGCAGAAAGACAGACCCCTGAGTACATACTGCAGTACTGCCCTAACTCTCTCCCAGCAAAGACTGTGGATCTGGCCCAAGTTAGCCACATTGCAAGAGAAGCTATGGAGTACCGGTGGCGACCTTAAACGCACAATCCTATTTGTGAACCAGATGGGACTCAATGTTTGGCATGACTGATGTCGAACGCAGAAGAGGTATTTCTTTCCACGCCTTACAGCATGCTCGTCTAAACTGTAAGCAAACCTCTAGGTTTAAGGCCGTGTTTCAGCACCTCGTTCTTTCACTCGACAGACGTTTTAACAGGTCAGTCTGTTGTGTTATTGGCCGGCATTACTCATGTTCTAAAAGCGTTTTGATAAACGCTTTTATACATACATTGGGGGTGAGTTGACGACAGCCTGTGAATTGTAGGCACTGCATCTATGGAAAGGGGGGTCACTGACTCAGAGATTCCCTGCCAGCTCTGGTAATTGATGCTCACTTGAGTCATTATCCGTAGCGCTCGACGAGGAAGTGTGCCAGGAGTAGGACTGCTGCCTCTGCCCTGACATTGGTGCAAGCTTCACATGAGATATTCCCCGTGTGGGTTATGGGACCCTGTTCTAGGGAAAACAAGAATAGACCCACTACCTACACAAAAGCATGCCGTAAGAGTTGACTAATTGGTAGCTTCCTTCAAAGTCGGAGTGCATCTTCCTGAGAGGCAAGGAACTAGCAGCCTGCATACAAATGAGTCAGATCCGTAAAACGGATACACATGCAACACTTAGGTTCTGGAACAGGATTGCAGTCTAGAAGTGGATGAATAACCAGAACTTTCCATAAGAGTTTACAGCTGGTGAACGCAAAGAAGAACAAAGAAGAAGGTCAACTACCGAACTAAAGTTTTGTTCCAGACCCTGAGTGTTGCATGCATATCCGTTTCACACATTTGGCTTATCTTTGTGCAGAGTGCTGGTTCATTGGCTCTCAGGCAGATAACATTTTGTTGTATATTATTCCTATGATTTTTCCAAAACATCTGATTTCAGTAGACTCCCAATCTAGGTTAGTTACGTATCCTTTACAGGACGTTGCAGAACCAACCCCAGCAGCCCCTGGCTGTTGTGTGGTTACTCTGGGCAAATTTACGTCCAGTAGTTTGCCATTGCCCCTGGACGGTCGGCCCCCTGATACCACTGTCGAAACCAACGCAAGGAGCATGGCCAGCAGCTGGGATCGAACACGGCACCTCGGCATTACGAAGCGTTCGCATCGACTTAGTCACAGAGCCGATATACTAATTAGTCACCTTTAAATAATGTGTACTGACTGTGCTTTCTCTACAATAGAGGTTCGTTACAGTACCCCGATCTCCAAACCCGCCAACTTAGGAATACTACGTGGTTAGGTATATTTCTTCCACGGTATGATTCTCGTACCACTGTCCGAAAACTATAAAAGTAATCCACAGAGGCAAATTATCCCTTTAACTTGAGGATAATGAAAATCGCCTTTTACGACATGCTGATAAAGGGGTGGCAGGTCTAATCTCAGCCCTCCCCACCCCTTCAAAATGGGGCCCGTAGCCCAAAGTCTCGTAAGGAAATTGGCAATGTAAAAATCGTTGTAGAAATAGTTAACACACTTTCAGAAACGGGGTTTTCACCAAGAAATCCACGACTTCCTTATCATAGTGCGCATGCGTAGTCAATTATAATTTTCAAGTAGGTCGTTTGAGGCGTCTGAAAGTGTCCAGTATTTGTGAACTTTGTAAGTTGTTATTGCAAAGAGTATTAGGTAAACATACCTTCTAGCCGTGTATTTTAGTAGTAAATTCTCATAAGTTAATATTTTATTATCCTTGAGGCTAGTAAAATATCATAACGGACAGTTTCCTGAAACAAAGACATATAAAACCGACCGGCATTTTTAACATCCGCCATTTTCGATTGCCTATGATTGTGCTACTGTCATCAGTTGCGTGGATTGGATGACAGTGTGTAATGTAGTGTGTTCCGTCGTGTAATTATGAGAATATTTCTTGTTTTCTGAAATATCGGGTACACAATATATTGTTATTTAACTGTAATTGTTATAAAATGAGGATACGATGTCAGAAATGAGCATTTCCTGAAGCTTTTTTCAGGCTGTACAAATTACTTTCTAGTATTTCTCTACTATTTTTAAATGAATGATTTCTGATGTCGGTAGTGTAGTACTTAAAGAATTAGTAATTCAGTTGAGTTACTATAAAAAAAAAAATAATGCTAAAATAGTCATAATTTTATTTTTAGAGTTTGCGCAAGTCAAAGTTATAATAATTATATATGAAATATAAATTGGTTTCGGTACATCGGAAATCGGCAATAACAGATTGCAAAATCATGGCTCTCCTTTCAACTACGGCCGGTAGACAACAGTAGACGGCCGGTTAGTCGGAGTTCTGTCCCCTGGCTGCAGTGCAATTACGGACTGGACAGGAGGAAATAAAACAAATGACATAATTACTGTGTGTTGGCGATAAACAGCGTGCACTGCCCTGCTTTAATCATACGGTTAGGGTTTGGTATAGGGTTAGGGGTAGGGTGTGGGTTAGGTTTAGTGTTAGCTTGTGGGTTAGGGTTACGGGTAGTGTCGCTGCATCTCGTCGTCGCACAAACTCAAAGTAGCAACCCTAACCCAAACCATATGACAGTAGGGCACTGCACGTTATCGCCAACACACAGTAATTCTGTCACTTGTATCGTTCCCTCTAATTCACTCCGTAATGCGTCACAAGAAGTGGTAATTGAACCCCCTCGCTAATTTGAGTCGCAGCGCGAGGTCTGCTAGGCATGTCGACCTCACTTTGTGGTCTGATTCGTGTCTTTTTTAGTTCGTAATTGACCAGAATTTGTAAAGACCAGTGGCCACTCAGTGGGGTCAGCATTGCACCAGCTGCCTTTATTTCTGACATTTCCTAGTACCCAGTTTCAGCTAGGTCGACCTGGGAGCCAAGATCAGTTCATTTTCCCCTTCTCCCAATCTTATGGAAGAGAAAAATATAATTATTTGTTTGTTTTATGTACTGCAAATCTAATTCTTTCTTTGTATTTCTACAGATAATTTTATCAGCTTGTACTGTAATAGGCAGTGGGGTGTTGGCTATACAGGTAAGATTATCATCATATGCCCTGACAAATAACATTGGCACTTCTGTCTTTAAGGGGTCACTACAGGAATTTTTCTGTTATTTACAATGTTAGACCAATTATTTTATAATAGTCATTTGTAGGGATGTATGTTGTTACATTTATTGACTTTAAGTTTTAAAAAAACATGGTTGCCTTGGCAACAGCCACCATTTTGATGGAAAAACATGTACTTAGACAGCTAAAATTTCAAAAACAAACAGGTATTGAGAAAAAGATGATTGATTAATTAACTTTAAACCTATATTTATTTAGGTTCAGGTCTAGTTTATTTACTTCAAAGATGTTTCTAAATTTTTTTTTAGAATATTAAAGTTTAGGTATGTTGAAAAAATACAAAAATGTAGCTTTTTAAGATAATAAACTTTTAAAAAAAATTACTTGATAAGCTGTAATTTTAAATATACCTGACCCTATAATATTGTGTTAGGAGTATCCACACAAAATTTCACGTCTCTAGCCTTTATATTAGCTGAGATTTTAGGAGATCCCAAACACAACAAAAAGAAAAATAGAATTGTTAGAAAAGTGACTTTTAAACTTTTTTTTTATCTTAGTGCATGGGTTGGTGTCTTTAGTATTAACTTTTCAATGCTAAATTGTTTACAAATTACACAAATTTTGTGTGTAATCTATTCTACGAATGCCGAACTTTACAAAATTAACACATTGAAAAATTGATATTTTTGTCATAAATTGGAAAAAATGCAGTGTAGTGACCCCTTAATGCTCAGCCCTTGATGTTCTAGGTCAGTTATATCAATTGTTTTTTGACACCACTGCCCCAAGCCATGTAGCATAGTTTCTATGCCTCTTTTACCAGTTATCTCCCCAGTTGCCTTGTTTTCTGATGTCTTCTTTCTCATTATAGGACCAAAAAGTAATTTTTGTTGTCATATAGTGTTTAATGTTTTACTTTCAGTAGCCTCTTCTATCCACATGTAAGTTCTGGGGCCCTATTGTTGGAACAGTGGAGGATATACCCAGTCTACTAAACATGTCCTAAAGGGCTAATATTTAAAGAATTGCTGAAGTCGGATGTGAAGCGCAGATATTAGCCTTGCTATAAACCACAGCACAATGTACCAGTCTGCTTTTTAAAACCAAATGCAGAGAAATAAACCTCTGCCAGGTAATCATTTGTTATTCTTTCCAAGGAATCCATCTCAGTAAAACTTGTTCAGCGGGCCATAGTTTTTGTCCACCTCTGATCTAGGTTCAATTGTCACCTCATAAGGAATAGGTGAATTAAAATACCATGTGCAGAAGCAGATCAGCTACTGGGACAAGTAACACCACTTTTCACACTTAAAAGGAAACCTTTGTTTACCATGATAAATCTTATAACTGATTTTTAAATATTCTTTAAGCTTTCTATGCTTCTATTGTCAAACATGGACTACAACCTTATAAGCCCCAATGGTAACTTGTAGCCAAGGTCATAAAAAAATATCACTAAGGACCTCTAAGCTGTTGGTCAGCCATCTAGCCCCTACGCTAACCATGCAGCCGCCATTCGAGATTAATCACAGATATAAAACTTGTCTTTTCTAAATAGTCTTAGATATAAAATTTTAGTATTGTAAATTACGTATTCTCTCATAAATTACATAATTATTTCTTTTGTTGTTTTCCAGATATTAGCAAGCAGCTTCTCCTGTCAACATGGATTATGATTCATCATCAAAGTTCATATCTTCCTTAGCAAAGTTTCTTCAGTCACTTTGTAATGGATATGTTGAGTTTGATTCAGGAGTTCACGTCATTGGCCATCTTTACCTCAGTGTTGACACAGGCAAGACGATAGACTACATTTTAAATGAAAAAGTGTGCAAAACCGATGAGAATAGTGTCACATTCATCAGCAACAGTTTTCACGCACAACCTGCAGAGAAGCCCAAACCTCCTGCTAAAAGATCTGTGAAAGACTCTGAAAAAGCAGATTTAAAAGCAGAGGACAGTTCTGAAAATTATGTTGGGACCCAGGGAGAACCCAGAAGCACCAATGTTGGAACTCTGCCCTCAGCTCGGATTGCTAATCAAAATTCCCCTCACTCTCATGGAGCTAAGAGACCATATTCTCCGTCACATACTTCCCAGTCGAAAACAGGGAGAGTATCTCCCAGGCACAAAAAGAATAGAACTGACTCGTTAGATCCAAATACTTCACATCTAGCAAACCCTTCTGTTGAAAGTAATGTTTCATCTGTCCCTAGTCCAGCTACTGATGCTGGTCTTTCAAACACATCGGCTCGGAATTCTGATGTTCCTCACGGATCACAGATGAATGCGCCTTACGAGCAAAATTACTTCCAGCAAGACGACGAAAACTCATTGAGCGAAGAGCCGGAAGAGAGAGATATTAAGCCTTCCATTGATACAGATGTTACATTTATTAAAGAAGAATATGGTTCATCGTCAAGTTGTTCACAGTCTGGCAGCCAGGGTAAGTAGTGCCGTTATTGTTACATATTAACGTAAAAGGCTCTTTTCCCACTAGTGACGTGTTGGCCGTTTAGGATGATATGGTCAGCATCACGCCAGTTATCTTTTTTTTTCAGGGGTTTACCTGGTAGCCATTTTAGGCTAGGTGGACCAGGTGGCCAAGGTAAATTTTGAACAGAATTTGACCGAGTGCAGATTCATATCTTAAACATTTGGGCAAGAATATAGCATCTCGCCATCTGCGCTATCTTGGTTGCCACCTTTGCCTAATAATTTAGTATGACTTGTTCAGTTACAATTGGGGGCCACAGCTTAGCTGCTGGCTTGAAAACATTTTTTTTTTTTTTTTAGTTTACCGCCTGTAATCTGAAATGGAAAGTTCTAGTTGTTTGTCCGCCTCTGGATATTAGTCTTGTTCCAAAGCCTGAGCTCTGCATCTAAGTGAATGAAAGAAGAACAACGCACCTGACTTGTTAGTAGGCAGATTGTTGGTTCCTTGCCTCTCAGACAGATGTACATTGACTTAAAGGAAGCCCCATTTAGTCTAACCTTACAGCTTTCTCGTTGAGGCAGTGAGCCTATTATTGGCTTCCCCAAAATTGAGATCCCGAACTAACACAGAGAGATCATGTTTAAATCTGTACCAGTGCATAATTTGAAAACATTTACTATGGCTTCTAGGTTGACTCAAGAAATGTCATTGGAAGTAAAGGAGGTCAGCCTGATATTTACATCATCACCTTTTGATCGCCATTTGGACTATAAAAATATGGGTTTAGCACCAAATGTCTGTACCTTTTATGTGAACAGTTTTGCTTTTTAAGTTAAAGAGATGTCTTGTTCAGTTTAAGAAGAATAAAACTAGGGCTAGTTAAATGAAAAAAAAATATTGTCAGTTACATATAAAACTGGAATGTGTCAGATACATTGAGAGCTATGTATAAGTGTTGGATATACGAAGAACTGGAATGTCATCTGTTTGGGGAACTAGAATATCAGCTAAATGGAGAACCGAAATGTCAGTTATATGTGGAAGAGGAATGTTAGCTACAGGAGTGCTGAATCATGTTCGTTATATGGAGCTTTAGAATGTCTTAGTTACATAAACCCAGAGCTTGCCATTGAACTAGATCATGTCAATTATATGGAGTATTAGAGTTTGTCTGCTACATAAATGTTCTTCAAAAATAGACCTAATAGCATGCTTGTCATATGAGGAAATAGGACATGTCACATACAGCTGTAAAAGATATCTGCAAGATGGAAAAACTCTAGTACATCTAATGACACGTATATTAAATTTTTCCCCTAGAGTAAAAAAAAAAAAACTGCCATTCCTTCTGTTGTTTGCAAAATCTGCAGCTAACTATGTCTTCTCTATATTAATTAGTTCTCAGCTCCTTGTGATTGTAGGTATCCTCAAAAGAAAAGGGTATCTGAGGTTTCCTTTTGCTACTGCTGCTTTCCTGTTAAGATTTGCATTCATTTATCCAGTCTTTCACTTTCCAGATTCACTTTAAATTGTCATAAGCTTCTTCACAGGCTTCAGTAGTTCCAGGATTGCTATTGTATATAAATCTGCTTATTTAATACCACTGTGTTTTGCTGTCTTGTTTATAAACAATTTCTTTTTTACAACCTATTGTGCTGTCCCAGTTTATACATTGTTTTAACATTTCAGTCGCTTCCAGAGATTTTGCTGGGTTTCGTGATGTTTATCTTCCTAATGGAGCTTTTGTAGTTTGCTTGTTTAAAAAAAGTAACGCAAACTGCCTGAAAAAGTTTTAATTGCAGTGTTAGTCAAATGTCAATATTTTCTTGTTAGTGTTTACCAGCTGTAAACTTCGGTGAAAAATTCTGGGTGCTCTTCCACCTCCGGTTTTGTTCCAAAACGGGAGTGTTGCGTACACATCCATTTCGCAGGTCCAGCTTTTTTTGTATGAAGATTCTTGGATGTTAATATTTAAAAAAAAAATAATTACCAATTGAAAAACAAAAATTGTGTGTTTAACATTTTCAGGCCGTGATAGGACACATGGGGATGAAACATCAGCTTATCCATACCAGTCAAATCAAGTATTTCCAGGAGGTTACCCAGGCCAGGGTAGTTTTGGAGCATCTCATAGAGCAAATTTTAATTCTTCCTCATCGCACATGTTTAGTCCAGGGCAGAGTGTATCAAAATTTGATGAAAGTTCGGGAGATCCATCAGGTTGGTGTCTTTTAATTTTAATTTTTTTAACCTTCTAAGCAAAACAATTGGCACAGGCATTTTAAAAAATGTTTCAGTTAAAAAAAAAAGATTTTATTTTAAGCATTGGGAATGCAAAGTAAACTGTTAATTTTATATTAAAAACTTAAAAACCTTTACAGTTCACATACATGTGTTAGGAAAACTGGACATTTTATAGGTTGAAAAGGCTTCCCATCTTGTGTTAATTTAATTTACACTTTAGGTTTCTCCTTATTAATTCAGCCCACACCATCTTTCATTGAAATTATTTTGCCAGTTGCTAATTGTTTTTGCTGTTGCTGTCCATACATTGAAATAACACAAAAATAAAATTATTTCAGAGTTGAAAGAGTAATTTAAGAGAGAAAAAAACGGTATCGATCATATAAAAATATGGGTCAGATTTATTATGTATTAGCACAAAGGTTAATCCCTGCCTTATAAACGATTAAAGCACCTGCTGATTAAACCATCATTTCAGCAGCTCCAGTTTTGATCAAACAGTAGTTTAATGCTGGCAGCTTGGTCTGAAAATCCATAAAGGAAAGACAAAGATAATACTTCAGGTAAATAGTAATGTGGTTTCTCTTAATGGCACCCCACTCCAAGACACCAATTTGGGCAGTATTGTAGATAAAGATGGAGGAACTGATAGAGATATTTAAAATAAGAATACAAAAGGCAAGAGGAGCTTTCATAGCACTAGGAATTTGTGGTCAAAAGAAATTAAAAGAAATGCTAAAATTAATCAGTACTTTTGTTTGGGGCGGAAACACACAAACTAAGGCAATTACTAATAAATTACAGACATGCATTAACTGGTGCTTGCGCAGAATAGAGGAAATTAAATGGTATGATAGAATAACTATTGGAGAGCTCCAGTGGACCAAGAGGTGAGGAAAAGACACTGGCGTTGGATAGGACGCACACTGAGAAAACAGAACAGCATAACTAGAATGTCTTTGCATTGTAACCCACAGGGGGCATAGGAATAAAGGAAGGCTAAAAATACATGGAGAAGAGAGCTGAAGAATGACGTTAAAAAAATTGGGGAGGGCTCTATTTAATGGCGAAGGATGGAACGACTTGGCATGAGTTGGTTGAGGACCTGTGTTCCATTGGAGATAAAAAGGCAGAAGAAGAAGTTAAATGCTGGGTACCTAGATGCATTCCATAAATCCATGCACCCAGTTTAATGTACTCAATGCTTTTATGCTTGCTTTGCCCAACATTTGTCTCATGAGTTCCATTACACCTGTAGAAACTACCTGATGCTCTTTGGCGTGAATGTTGTTAGAAAAACATGCCTAGTTTTAAGTGTTCAAAAACTAAAAAGGTATGTTGAGATCTTTTAGAGAAACAACAATCTCATGTACACATACATACCTGGCAAGGACCTACAGCCAGGTGAACAGAAATAGCAGAATATTTAAATAGTAAACTAGGAATTATATAACCATAAGGAAACATGTCACATGTTTGTCTGCTTTAATTTTTGTCTAGAACAACACAAACATTGTTAATTTTAATTTTAAAAATAAGAAATAACCAAAAATATAAATACCCACATATCCAGATTATTTTATAAATAGGGATTGGTGAAGAACTAGTGCATGGCTTTATGGAATCAGCAGTAGATTCACTCTAATGAAACAATAGTTAACGATGGCCCTGATGTTATCAGAGGGTTTAAGTCACAGTCTTAAGTAAGTACCTCAGCAGTATGCAGAGGATCACACTACAGTGGCTATGGTTGCCTAACTATTATGGTCTCTGCCAAAAGCGAAAGCAGTGGCAAAATACCTGTTTCAAGATGTCAGGAATAGTTATGATTTCACAAATTAGTAGTGTGAATTTAATAATAGAAAGAAAAAAAGCGTTGAAAGTAAAAAAAAAAAAGATCATGTGTTGCGCACCTTGAAAAAAAAAAAAGATGAGTTATTTAAGTAGGAATTGTAAGTCAGTTCTCATTAAAAACTGCCTCAAAAGAATTTCTGATAGTGTACCTAAATGTAAAGATTGAATTGAACATGGTTTATGAAGATATCCGTATGTCATACGTGAAATAACATTCCACCCTAACAAAAGAAAACATAAAGCATGTACACAGAAAAAAAAATTGCAGTATTAACAGAAAGCTAAGATCATTTTTGTGATATGTGAGGTTTTTTTTAAGAGTGCAGTGTAGGTTTAGATCTTAAGTTTAAATTAGAAACATAAGATATTTTATAAACATCAAAATTTAAAAAAATGTTGTTTATTTCAGAAATAAGATCTGAGGAACAATTTCATATTCATACTGATTAAAAAGGACTGTTTGGCCATATTTATTTGATTATTCATGTCAGTTTTAAAGCACAAAGCAGTTGGGAAAAAATAGCAGCTTTTCTGTGTAAGCATTTACCTTAAATATAGCTGAATATAAAGTTGATGGCAAGCCACAAGCTGGGGAAAAAATATTTTTAATATTTCACAAAACAGGGTTTATGATAGAATATTAATAACTGAGCAAAAACAAATGCACACATTTTTATCTGTAATATATGGGGGAAAAAACAATGTATGGACTCTCTGTTTATAGCAGTGGTATTTTTGAGTTCACATATTTTTTTTAAAAACCTATTGTTATATACTTAAACAAACCCCCCCCCCCCCCCCCACCCCCATTCTGAGACCTGAGTTTCAGTCTTATAGATGTTAAGTAAAGGTCCCTGTGGCCAGTTGCCCAGAGGGCGTATAGTGGTAGACCTATATTTTTTTTTACACCAGTCAGCACTTGTGTGGCCAACATCATGATTGCCGCCCTTAATTCCTGGTACTCATTTTTAGGTCGGGTCAGCCTGGGAGCCAAGGTCAATTTTAAGTGTTGTTTTGCTGTTAAAATGTTTGTGCAACATTTATGAGCCCAGTAACAGTGTTACAGTATGGGTAGTTGTTGCACACACATGAACAGCAGACACTCTCTTGTTACTGTTAAAACATTAGGGCTGAGATAATTGCTCTTTGTTGGTAATTGTCCTTCAGTATTTGCCGGAGATCTTTGTCATTCCCCTCTGCTTGGCATCTCTTCGGTCAGTTTTTCTTCTTTGCGTTCACCAGCTGTAAACTCTGGCGGAAAGTTCTGATTTTTCATTCGCTTTTCGACTGCATTTCTGTTCCAGAACATGAGTGTTGCATGTGCATTCATTTAACAGATCTGACTTATTTCTATGCAGTTTGCTGGTTCCTTGCCTCTCAGGCAGACGCACTCCGATTTTGAAGGAAGCCCCTAATCAGTCGACTCTTACGACATGTTTTTGGGAAAAGCTGTGGGTTTCTTCTTGTTTTCCATACAACAGGACGCCGGAACTCACATAGAGGGGTCAGTTTTAGTCTTACCTTTCTTCCCTTTAGGTTTCAGTGAAGAGCAATTTTGTTGTTGGGGGTATATTATTCTTAGTGTACTTTAATTTGTATCCTGAATATTACACTCACTGCTTTCTGCATTCTTTGCATTTTGATCCATTTTCTTAGTTTCTATATTTTATATAGTATCTGTATATACAATCAGGTAAATAAAGCAGGTGTTAATATTTCTTCAGCATGCTTGATGCTTTTTAGGTTGATGGGATTTAGTCTCATACCTGTATACCTTGATTTAATTTCTTCATTTAGCTTATCTCTTAGTTGAAGTGTAGGCACGATACTAAGCAGGTGGTGTATATGCATGAGTGTATTCATTCATAAGTAGAAGTGTAACATAATCAGACAATCCAGCTAAAACCACCAACATTATCATCTCATTTATTTCTCCTGTCTTAAAAATCAGTAGAACTTGGATCTATTGCCAGTGTCTTAGAATTGAACATCCCATTGATACTGTGGATACCTTTTCATTTAATGTTTGCAGTTCAGACTCTGATTATAATTCTGGGCCGCTACCTGTACATTATCATATTTCCAGGTTAGAAAAAAAATTCACCATGAGACCTACCTGATTTTTCAGTAGTTAGACTGGCATGTATTATTTTATCTGAAAGAGATAATATGGTGTATTTTTAAAATTCTGAGTCTAGGTTTATGAAGAACTCAAAGTTGCCACTGGCTTATTAAGATCTAGTGTTGCATTACACTGTATATTTTTTGTAAGTAAAGTATACATTTTTAACTACAGAGAAATGAACAGGGTTGATGTTAACTTAAGATTATGAATTGGGGCAAGCAGTTGGCTCAAGACAACTTTGTATGTGAAATTTAGTGTTGTTCTATCTGTGACCAAATTCCAGATTGGTGAGAGAATCTTATGGTAACCAGTAGTGGCATTTCGAACAGTAATGTATAGAAGTATCGCAGGAGAGAACAAATTTGTTTGTTTTAAAGAGTTAACATCAGTCCCTGTTCATTGTTACAGAATGGGGTTAAAGCTGAATTGTAAGCTAGTCTGTTTGGTGTAACAGGCGTCATCAATATGTTTAGCACCTTTTACCCTATCATGAAAATTGGGGGTGGGGGGGGGACGTTTTATATCCATTAATAATTCTTGAGTAATTTTTACACTGCATTGATGAAATGAGAAAACAAGACCGCTTTAATCCCTTCTTTGAAAACAGCATTGTATTATTACAAGATAATGTTTGTCAGTTACACAAGTGACAAAGGTGAATGTGAATGTATAATTTAAAACAACACTTAGTAATGAATTATGTAGATGCTTACATTCATCCTTGTCTATTAATTAATTAATTGAAATAATTACTGAGAATAACTGTTGTTGGAGAGGGCCTGGGCTGGCAGGTGGTAAACTCAGAAGTTCACATTGTTCCCATTTAATCTGGATTTTCGGCTCATAGTTAGCAATTTGGAGTCAACAAGAGATACTTGTAGGCTGGAAATAATGAGACATGTAGTGTCAGGGTGATTCTTTTTATTAAATTGTGTATATTTTGGAAGCTTTGGGTGTGCATACCTCATGTGATCTCTTGTTGCATTTCAAATTGTTATCCAAATTCACATTCAAAATTCAGTAGAAATTTGTGTCATAGAAAAGCAGACTTCCTCTCCTGTCCCCTTTGCCTCTTGCTCCTCCTCCTTACCCAGGGGGAAAGACATTTCAGATCGCTGTACTCAGATCAGATCTTAAGGTTCACTGCATGCACTAGGGTTCAGAATTCCTCTGTTCACATCACACTGTCATTAGCATGTTTGCTAGAAAGAGTGCACAGTTGGGTGCTTTAGAAACATGGCAGAAAATTTGATTGGCCCGAAAGGTACTGCCCAGTGTCTGAGCCTGACAACATAATGAAGAATCACATGGACTGAAGACCAGCTCTTACGTAACAATATCTTGTTGATTACTGCATAGATGCTGCTCATCATTGGATGAAACATGTCAGTTTAGTGAAGGGAGCTATGGCTGTCTGATAAACCGGTTATTTTATGCCTTAAAGTCAGTAAGACAGCATTTTGTGCCATACTATGAGTGGGATATTGTATTTAAGCCCTGGTTAGAAAGTCCAGGCTTCCGTTAAATATTTGTGATTGAGATACTAATTTCTCTTTAATACTTTTTGAAACGGAATATGTATCACAAACTCATTTCACTGTTGTATGTGAGGGCTAGAAAGAATTTCTGTTTTTAAGACAGTGTGTGTAAAATGTCTGCCTTTAAGGGGAGTGTGTGTTTTTAATATATTTTCTTTGTATTATTGTTTGTAGAGTTATTGTGTTTGTAAAAAATACAATTTCGGTAGAGCATTGTATGAGAAATAAGCAGTTATTTTCTTTAAGGAAGTTTATTGTTTCATTTAAGCCTATTGTAGAAATGTATTCACAGATTACTTAATGAGTTTTAAAAAAAAAATCTTACTAAAGAATGCTTGTGTTTATGTCTTTGGCATATGTTAGGAACAGGAATTTTGAAAAAAAAAATTGTTTTTAAAGGGCATCTTATCTTTAGAATTTTTGTGACAGTTTTACATGTATATAGTTTGACAGTATGCAGAAATGTTAGTGAATATTTATTGACCGTGTGTCTGTTTTTAAATTCGTGCCTGTTTCATGTCAATACCTCTGAGTTCTTTAAACAGGCCCAGACTTCTCTGTTGTGTAATTCTGAGTGTTGGCTTGTATTCTTGTAACAGATGTAACTGCATTGTACGATTACTGCCATTTGATGTGCAACATCTGATTTTTACCATCAGCCATCCTTTGAGGTCTTTCGTTGAGGTTTTCATTCAGCCCGAAATGCATGTATGCACATTTTGTTTCCTCTGCAGTGTGTCTGGATGATCAGAGTTTGAAAAAGATTATTGCCGTTGCTTCAAAGGAGCACAATTCTTCTATTGTTGAAATGATTGGAGCAACACACCTTGATTACCTCGCTTGCCCAAGCGGCAAAAGTTTTCCTTGTAACTTGTGTGGGAAAGTTTTTCGTGTGAAACATCAGTATATTGGTCATCTAAATACACACATGAGTCTGAAACCATTTCATTGTGAATTCTGTGATAAATCTTTCGCTTATGCCACAAATTTGAGTCGGCATAGAAGAACATGCGAAAACAACCCACAAAATGCTTTGTCATCGTCGTCAAGTCATGCGGTGCATTTTCAGGATTGAGACAAGAATTGAGTACTGTTAGATGTCTGCTGCAATAAAACCGATACTTATGCCAGCCCAGGTGCCCATATTTAACCACTATGAATGATTTCTCATTCGTCCATTTCTCAGATTACTTGCAGAATGGGATGTTGTTTACCAAGCAAGATATGTTAGATGTTGGCACACGTTCTGCATCCTGGAGCCATACCTGTTCATTCTGTGACAAAAAGTTTCAGAATAAAGCAGATTGCAAGGGCCACATTAACAGTGTACATTTGAACGCCAAACCATTTGTCTGCGAGCATTGTGCTGTGAGTTACTCTTACAGGCAGAGTTTGAGCAGGCATCTTGTGAGTTGCAAGATGAACCCTTATGTCTAACCACAACAGTGCAGGGGCCAAGGATATCAGTTGTGAGTTGCAAGTTGACCCCTTATGTTTAACCACAACAGTGCAGTGGCAAAGGAAATCAATTGTCATATTTTTCTTCTTCTCCAGAGAGATTGATAATGAACAAAGTATCTCTTGCTTCTTCGGAGCGGCACAAGCGATATCAGTGCACACATTGCTCCAAGCGCTTTGTCAACAAATTGGACATGAATGGTCATATCAATAGTCAGCACTTGGGCATTAAAGCATTCACATGCATGCAGTGTTTGAAGCCGTTTTCCTATCTGCAGAATCTGAGAAAGCATCAGAGGATATACAATCACAGTGTTTAAAATCTAACAAACATTGGTTCTATCTGAGGTACCTGTTTGTTACATTTGAAATTGAGACCTAGAATTTAAAATAGGGATGTGAGGTAACCTTTCCTGTAATTGGTTTTACTAGCAATGTATTTTCATAATAAAAACAACTCTTAACATAAAGCTGCCACTAATCTTTTGAATTTTCTGGGTCTCTGCTTTCAATGCTACAAAAATGGAAGAATCTAGGCGCCCTCAATCATGGCTCGTGTGTATTACCATAAGTAGAATTTCAACTGCTTACACAACAAAGCTAACCCTAAAGATGTTAGGGGATATAACTGGAAACTAATTTAATATGTGAGATTTTTATATTATGTAGACAGTATTTCCGGTTAAAATATATCATGGCACATTTGGTTAATTTTGCCATTTGCCTTTGGAAGTTACGTTCTGACTCCCGCTTTTTTACCCTCTACAGATCTTACTAAAATGTCGAAGGTGAGAAATTCAAATCAGGCGTTGTATTCAGAAAATATCTGGTTGTGTGAAAATACTCCTATGCACCGGACATCTGGAAAGCATTCTGCGCTAAAAAATTTTGTCTGCACATACTGTCTCAAACGATTCTGCAGTCAGAGAGATCTGGATGGTCACATCAATGCCAGGCATCTACACACAAAGCCTTTCAGCTGTGAAAAGTGTAGCCGCAGCTTTTCTCATAAGACTAGTTACAATTTTCACAAGAAAGTTTGTCTGCTGTTTTCATGATTCATGACAGTAATTTGTGTTAGAGAAAAAAGTCCCCCCACACACTGCTCAGTTGATACAATTGCTAATGCCATGAACTACTGGCCAGTGTCATGTTGTGACCTTAGTGTAACTTATTATCACTTCTGCTTTGTTACAGATTTGTGTAAGCGAAAATTTGGACCCAAATCCTTCATTTCTTCCGCCATGGATATTCATCCCAATCAGGCTCATTCTAGAGGCTTTGCGTGTCATTTTTGTAATAAGTGTTTTACTGCTAAGCAAGATTTGGAGGGGCACATAAATGCACAGCATCTAAATTGTAAACCATATCAGTGTCCAGTGTGTTCTAAAGCATTTGCCTACGAAAAGACACTGAAATGTCACCGGCGGATGGCTCATTTTGATAGTGCATTTGCTAGTCCATAAGAAATCTTGTAGTCATCTTCACATTTTATACAGAACTGTACACAGTAATACCTATTAATGGAAAATAAAAGCCTAGAGTGTTATAGAGCTAAAGCATAACTTGTTGAAGAAATATTTAGAACCAATAAATTCTTGAAATATTTCACCCAAAAAGGTCGAGGGGGTGGTCATTGGTAGCAAATACACACTTCCGGCTTATGAAAAAAAACTTGTAGCATAAGATGTGTGTTGGAATTGTTAAACATTCTTCTCTGTTGTGTTTCGCAGCAAAATCTTGAGTGTCTTTTTTTTAAACTGCAAATATGACACTGAACAATATTTGTTTGTGCTGGATAAGTAATAGCAGTATGTCATGTGTTTCTTCATATTTGATTTCAAGCATTTATAGTTTTGACAGGAATACAGTGAAAAGGATTTATTCAATACCTTGAGCTTGTTTTGTGGATCATATGACGTTGGCATGTATCCTAAATATTTAGCGAAAGGCTGCAGCTATCATCTATCTATTAAATTTTAAAACAATTAACATTTTTAATAAAGATATTCTATCCAGTGTTGAATGGAATAATAAAAAAATATTTTCTCCAGAATTTATGTCATTTTCTCATCCTGTTTTCAATGCCGTAAGAGATGATCCCAATGTTTTCTCCTTTGATTTTTTGCACAATGTGTACTTGTCCGCAGGTCTGAGAAAGCACACTGAACAGTTCCAGTCAGACACTGTTGATTCTGAGAGGACGCCTAGTTTAAGTGGATCTGCCCAGTTAAGCTATAGTCAGAACAATGGGGCTTATGTTTGTGAATACTGTAGGAAACGCTTCTTTGTGAAATGCAACTATGAAGGACATGTTTTCTCTCAACACCTTGCCTGTAAACCTTACAAGTGTGACCATTGTGACAAAGCTTTTGCCTACAAAAGAAGTTTGAACTATCACTTGAAAGCCAACCATAATTTCTGTTAGATGCTGTCAAGGCATCTAATTTTGTTTAAGACATAAATGCAAGTTTTTATTGTTGGTTTTGTTTTTAAGCTCAGAAAGATCATTGAAAAAAAAACTTGTCGCAAAACACGTTTGTATAAATGTATGTAATGCAGCTGATTAGAAGAAAAAAAACATTAGTTACATAATATTTTTTTTTTCTAAACTGAAGAATAGCATTTATGTGGTATTTTTGTGTTATATTAACACCTGTTACAAGAATGTAGAGATTTTATTAAAACACCTTTAGTGTCACTTTACTTTCTAGGGCAATTCTTGTTTTCTAGGACAATTCTTGTTGTTTAATTTCAGTTATGTTTATGTCAAAACCCATGTCAATTTCAAAAGTTGCCCAAATGGGGATTCTTCTTCACGCCTGCTGGCTGTAAATGTAAACTCTGTGGAAAGTCCTGGTTGTTCACTTCTTTTATTTCTGAACGTTTTGAGTTTTGCTTGCATATCTGCTTTACAAATTTGGCTTACTTGTATGAAGACTGCTAATTCCTTACTTTTGAGGTAGATGAACTCCAGCTTATAAGAAAATGACGATCCTACTTTTGCTGGCCGACTCCCTGTTTAGAAAGCTGTTTCTAGGATGACCATGGAGAGGTGTATAGAGATCAGTATGCGTCCTGGTTCTCTACCATCATGTGTGGTTCAGCTCTACTGCATCCCTTAAGACTAGTTTGAGAATTAATACTAGGCAAAAATATTTAATAACTGCTGCCTGTGCAAAAGGAAATTTTAGCGATGTAGAGCTTATGGAAAAATCTTGAGAAATTCTAGCAAATCAAGTAGCTATAGGAATACAAGCTTGTATTGTTTGGGACACTTCGGGAAAACCTGTGTATAGTGTAATTAGAAAATATTTTATGTGAAACCCATCTAGCAAAACAGAACAAACCTCAAACCTAAATAGGATGAGAGTGAACCCAAAAAATCTATTAATAATACATTTTTAAAACTTTCTATTCAACATTTATATTCAGTAGATTGGTACACAATCTTTATTATATAAAACTAGCAATAAAATGGATTCCAAAGACTGGGGGGGGGGGGGGGGGGGGCACAGGGACTGGTAACTCAATTTCATCTGGTAGTAAATGTGTGTATGTGTGTGCATATAATGGTATGTTATTTCATTTGCATTCACTGGTATCTATCATAGCTCATGTTCTACTCTTCTTCTTAGAGTGTTCCTGCAGAGAGTTCTGGTTTTCTACCCCTGGACATTGGTCCAAAATTTGAGTTGTACCCGCTGATCTGTTTTACTAATCTGGTTTTTTTAAATGCACTCTGATTTTGGAATGGCAGACTTGGAAATTAAGATCGGCATAGCAAAAAAACGAGACGCACACCAGAAGGCTTGTTAATCAACATAGAACTGGTACTATAAGCCGTGGGACGTTGGGGTTCATACTGAGGGGAGGATCTGAGCACCTATAGACATGTCCAGAGTGCAATGATGATAACCTAACTAACTAACCCCTATATAGTTCACTTTTATGACGTGTGTTAGAGGAGCTGTAGTTCTGTTTTTGTCCAAAATGTAACCCTGGAACCAACATCGGAAGGGAAACCTTTGCTACTGTTTTCACATCATCATTTGAATCTGAACATTTTGAACCATGATGATCCTTGTCTCAACATAATTTGTGGAAATATCTTTTGATGAATGTTATACTTCTTAATCAGCGCTCCCAAAAACAAATATACCGGGAAGTGGATGAGGTAAAGATGGCTTGCTAGTGTCTGCAAAATTAACCCTCTCTCCCTCTCGTGCGCGTGTTAGATAGAGAGAGACAAGAATTAGTGAGTTCATGCTTAATTTAAATAAATGGGAATGTCTACTTTGTTGGATTACACAGTTCCAACATTCTCATTTAGCCTTGACATTGCGCCTGGGGAACTAAATCTGGCCCAAAGTGACATAGCAAGTGGCCCGCAGATCATCTCTCAATTGTATAGATTTATCATCTTTATGTGATTGAGCTCGGCTGTCTGACCTGCAATGATCCCCATTTTCCAACATTTTGGCCCCTGAGTAAGCCTAGTTGAATGGCCCTGTCGCACATGATATCATTACCATATAGTTCAGATTTGCTTTGGGAGATTTTGTTGTTACCTTTCTTTGTACCTTGCTAATTTCAGTATATAGTTTTAGTCGCACTTCTGTCTGTTGTCAGTGCATACTTTAGTAAAGAAACATTACTAAAAAAATTCATTTGTTGATATCTATTTGTTAAAAAAAAAGCCTGTCAGCCCAGTTAGTGGAGAATCATAGTTCTTTTGTTGATATAATTTGCTTCCATCTTCTTGTTAGAATTGCTTGGCTCACCATCGTTCTGTGCAGTGGGATCACCATTCAAAAACAGATCAAGAACTAGTGTTGGAAAAATTGAATGTGAAGTTTGTGGTAAACGATTTCCTTCGCGGAGATCACTACAGGGACATGTTAACTCATTCCACCTACACCTGAAACCGTATGTTTGCCCCAAGTGTCATAGATCCTTTGCTTATCAAACCAGCCTGT